CAGGATTTGGGGGTTTTCTCCCTCAAGTTTTTTGGATAGCTCCAGGAATAAGATAATGAACATAGAACATTTACCACACACAAGACCCTGTTCTAGAAGTGTCCCTTATTTTCACGAATTCAATCATGCAACAACTCAGTGAGGAAGGTGGGCAAACTGAGGCATGCAGAGGTCAAGTCACAGAGCTGCTGTGTTAAGCAGGGTTATCTAGAGAAACAAAACCAGGACACTTATGAATATATATATATATATACAGCAAGAAGGAATATAACAGCTAATTACTACACACAGCAGTACAGAGGGCTCAGTTCAACTCACTTTCGTGGTAACTCACTTGGGCTGCTGGGCCCAAGGTCAAGGAAGCAGACAGCAGAGCCTTCTCTCAGGCAAGGCAGGCAGAGTCTGTGCACAATAGAACCAAACACCACAGCAGGCAGCAGGGTGGGTCAGCAACAGTCAGAAGCACAGGAGCTTAGCGAGGCAGGCACTGATGGGATCTGGAACTCAAGCACGGCCAGGATCTACCAGCCTCAAGTTCAAGCAATGTAAAAACCAGCAGTGTAAAGCAGGTCTGGAAGGAGCCTCAAGCTCTAACAACACACTACATGGATTGGCTTGGTCCACGTAGTGTAGCACACAGGCTGAGGCAGAGAACTAGCTAAAGCAGCAGCGCGCTGGTCTGATCACCAGGGAGCAAGAGAGAGATGGCATGTCAGCTGTCTTATTTCAGTCGTCCTCCAGTCAGGCTTCAACCTGACCAAACACCACCCACATGTTCCCATTGGCCTCGATGGCACCAACCGTCACAGCTGCTTAGAGTCAGACTGCACACCCAAGGCAGTCAGCCTCTGGCCCCTTCATTGTCCCACAACAGGGATCAGCAAAAGTTTCCGTCAAGTACCAGACAGTAAATATTTTAGGCATTCCAGGCCATTTGCTTTTGGTCACACTACTCAACTCTATGATTCTAACAGGAAGATGCTACAGACAAGAGAGGAATTAGTGGATGCGGCCATGTTCCAATAAAACTTTATTTACAAAACCAGGTGGTGGGCTGGATTTGGCCTGAGGGCTATAATTTGCTGGTCCCTGCTCAAGAGACAACGCCTCTTCTTTCAAGGTGGTTCTGAACATTGCACATCGCAGGCTGCTAGTGACGAAGCCTTCCTCCAATCCTGATGTCCCTTTCTTCATGTAGTCCGATTTCTCAGATTATTTGCACAGCATACAGACTGATTCAGTATTGTGAAAGGATATAACCCAGACACACACCTTTCCTGATTTTCCAAAGACTGCCTCTCGGTCTGTGTGCAGGTTCTGCACGAGCACAATGCAACTGTTATGGAATGCCCATTCTTTAAACTGTTATCTGTAGTTCTTTTTTTTTAATGATCTACACAAAAAAATGCCTTTGTCAAATGCCTTTGTATAGTCAATCAAATACAAGTAAGCATCTTTCTGGTATTCATTGCTTTCAGCAGGTGCTCATCTTTGACAAGCGAGCTGTGCGCCCATACTGGGTGCCATGGTGGGTGCTCTACACACACCCTCTTTTTCAAAATGCACACCAGCCAGACCCCAACGAAAAGATTATCATTCCGATTTTTCAGACAGGAGGAAACTCTGAGGCCCCTGTGCCCAAGGCCTCGCTGCTGGAAAAGGCAGAGCTGTGATTCTAAATGGCCCCCTGACTTCTGTATATTTGCCTCCTCAGGGAGCAGACCTTGGGGGTCCCCATTCCTGCTTCCCAGAGCATCTCAGAGTAAGGGATCAGGACTGCCTGCAGTGAGTATCCCCACTCTCGGGAGTCCTAAAGTCCCAGTGGGATTCAGGCTGGACTGGTACCAACCCAGCCCAAACCACTGAGCCTATGGCCGCAGTTGGTTCTGACTCACAGGGGCCCCACAGAGGGTTTCCAAGCCTGTCAGTCCTGATGAGAGCAGGCTGCCTCACCTTTCTCCCTGGGTGTGGCCAGTGGGCTTGAACCATTGACCCAGTGGCAGTCTAACACTTAGCAGAGAGCACCACAGGGGCTCCTTAGAAGCTGCACCCGGCCTGCCAGCATCCAACAGGCTGGTCTCTCCCATGGAGATAACTGTGACTGGGCAGGGAAGAAAACTATGGCTCTGAGCATCCCCCAGGCCAGGGACGTGCCAACGAGAAGGTCAGGCCCCTCCACGCCGTGACCTTTTGCTATAGGGCGTTGCCGGGTATGTAACATGGGCTGGGGACATGGAGGTCAGCCCAGAACCGGGGCCAGCTGCCACACAGTCAACATCCACTCCTGGCCCCCTGCTGTGTGCTGGGTCCCATGCCCCGGAGGCTTTTCTGAGATTGAATTCTCAGAAGTAGATTGCCAGG